ATCTGGTTGTATCGTGCTCTCAAGTCCAGCTTAGTGAAGTACCGAGCACCCTGAAGTTCATCCAACATATCATCCACGGTTGGAGTAGGAAACTGATCCTTAATCGTGGGCCAGAAAGTCAGTGCAGAATCGCCAAGTACCATTTTTTTTCTTCACCAACAACAGCTTGGTCAAACGAACCCTGCGACCATCATCTCATCCACATGCTGCTCTATCTCCATCTTCTGATGATAAAAATATATGTATGGACGCACATTCACATTGTCCGTCCCGCAGTCTAATACAGTGATCTACTCCACGCTGAGGCGATAGCTGTTGGGGTTTCTCGAACAGGGTGACGTACAAATCGAGTAACCCTTGTACCTCTGGCGCCACTTCTTGCTCTTTGGACCCCACAATCGGCCAGCACAACACCGTAAGCGCGACATCCTTAGCTAGCTGCGGATCATCCCAGCTCTGGCACATACACGATAGTGATGCCTTGTAATTCCATGTCCTTGTCGCGCCATTTAAACGGTATGATCATCCTGGTCCAGTAACCGGTGGTCGGTCCTAGGCTCTTCAGGATAGTAATGGAACTCCCAACACCACATCAAATCCCTTCAAGGGTAGCACATGCATATCCATAGTAACCTGTAATCCCTAAACCTGAAAAGGCATGACTTCGAAGCCGCGAGTGCACCTAGAGGTGGCAATTTTTAATCCAATCTAATCCATCCACCAAATTATCCACCTAATCCAATCCATTTGATCCCAATGAAAATTATAGTTCGGTACCTATATATTTTAGATTTTACATTTTAGTACCCAGAATTTAAATTTTTATATGAAAAATATTATTGGAAAATTATATTTTGGTACCTAAATTTTTTTATTATAATATTTTAGTACCCAAACTTTTCAAATTTACATATTGGTCTAAGACTTGGATGTCATTTGGATTCATGGATCAATCCACCAATCCATTTGATCCAATCCATGAATCCATTTGATCCAATCCACTTCTCCACCAATTCATGGAGCCAATCCAATTGCCACCTCTAAGTGCACCTCAATCCTGCCCCATTGGTGGCTTGCACGCCGAACGAGTCGACCGGTTTGGTCGGTAGCCGCAGCAAGGCAACGAACGTTTCCTCGACGAAGTTAAGGGAAGCTCCACTGTCAACCAATGCCACTGCCCGTTCTCCTGCGACCTATCGTCGTTGGACTCGAGATCCCTACTGTGGCCGTTGCAGAATCACCTTCACCACATCCACTGGACGCCATTCGCCTGCTACGCCGGTGCCTCGGCAAGTCCAATCGGTTCGGGCTCCATCGCCTCGCTGCTCGTGCCTGTGGCCGTCGCAAACACTGCCTGCTAGGCCTCGCTGTCGCTCGACAACTCTTCTGTGACGCGCCCGAACACGACCAAAGCTCTTCGAAAATCCTCGCCTCCCACTACATGGTCTGGTCCCCCTGTGAGAGTTGTGATGAACTCATCTCGAACGAGGCACTGATACCAATTGGAAGAACACAGACTGTTGAGATAGAATTAGGAAAAAAATTGAGAAGAGAATTAGGTTTAGGGGTTGAGAATTGAGAAGAATTGGGCAAGAAATCGAGAATTTCGAGAAAGAAGAAGATTGGGAATTAGGATTTTAATAATATTTTGTTCTTAATCCAACATAATCAAGTGCAATCCTTTAAATATCAACTCCTCAAAACAAACAAACTCCCCAAATACCCCACTTATGTCGAGCTCTCCCCTGCCCTCCACGACTAAGGTGAGTTTCTTACTACAGATGGCTAATTATTTGAATTCTATACCATCATGGTGGAGTGATGGACTTCTCGAGTTTTGGAACCATGATATGTTAGTGGTTTTTCAGGAAAGATATCGGTGGATGTTGATGAATTGTCATACTTCGAAATTCTGAATGTGGCTACAATTTACTTGACATATGTGGGCGTACGAAGTATATGGTACTTGACATTGGGGGCTACAATGGCAGATGGTATACATGTAGTGCATTATGATAAGGATGTGATGGAAGGGTTGATTGTCGATGCACCTAGAACTAAGGATGTGTCTGTATTTGTAGATGCCATCGATCTAGAGGTGGACTAATGGGAGACAATGAGGATCCATACATGTTTCAAGGTTTATCTAAAGAATGTGAAGATATTTGTGAGAGCTCTGTTGCGAGGAAAATCATCAATATGGCTGACTCGTGTGATTCTCTCATGTTAGAGTCGAACAATTCAACAACTTGTCCTATGTCTAATTCTGATTGCGGGGATGAAGTTGAGCAGCCTCATGCATTTGGAGATGACTACCTTAAGTGGAAGAAGGATAAGCTTATTCTTCTGATGGAATGTCCAAACCAACAAATCCAAGTGTACCACATGTGTTCCATAAAGAGTCTGGGGAAAGATATATGCCAAATTTCCATTTTATTATTTCGATTGTGATCACGAGGATTTCATTTTCAAGGTTGAGCTCAAGTTCCTGACTGCTGAGCAGTTTAGATGTGCTATATACAAACACTTTGTTTCTGTTGGGGCAAATGTTGTATGTACAAGGAGTAATGAAGGTAGGAAGGAGTTTAAGTGTGAGGAGGCTTCTTATGAGTGGAGGTATATGCTTCTTGGTGGGTAGATGGTGCAAGTTTCATGGTTAGGAGGATAGGTATGCCTCACACTGTTCGAGTCAACCTAGAGACTATATGGTTTATTGCACATCATTTTGAGCGCCTTAGGGTGACTTCGAAGTAGGAGCCTTGCCACATTGTTGGGGAGGTAAATGCAGAATCAGGTGTCGAGTTGAGGTGACAACATGCTACCGAGCTAAGGTTATTGCAAGTAAATGCATGGGACTCTCAACGATGAGTATCACAAGTTGAGACGATATATAGCTGGCTGGCTGCTTTGAAGAGGGCATAATCGGAAGGACTTTTTGTTCTAGATGTTGTTCCAAACATGGTTGCTTATATAGCGTATTTCAAGAGGTTCTATGTGATGTTCTCAATTATGAAAATTGGCTTCCTCGTGGTTGTAGGACTATTTGTTTTTTAGTGGATGATTGCTTTTTGAAAGACGAGGTCAAAGGTATGTTGTTGACAACTGTGGCAAAGGATGGGAATAACCACATTCTCCCATTTGCATGGGCTGTGACAGAGACTGAGAACAATGATTCATGGACATAATTTTTTAGCATACTACAAGAAGAGTTACAATTTGACGATGGAAGTGGATGGAACATCATTTCATACTAACAAAGGTATAATTGCATTGGGATTTATAACAGAGTTACTTCAACCCACTAGTAATTGCATGCAACGGCGGATCCATGATATAGTAGAGCAATGTGCCACATTTGAAAAAAGACTGAGAGGACTGGACCGTAATTCGACAAGTACTAAAACGAATACCTAAATTCGACAATTTCAAAGAGCTATACTAACATTAGATCCGGGGAGGCCTGGGCCGGGGGGCGGCCCCCCGGATCCGCCATTGATTGCATGAAGTTGTTATGTTGTTATGTTCTTATTCGATTTACTATATCTGCAGGGGTTGGTCGAGGCGATGCATGATGTGATCCTTAGTGCGGAGCATAGAAAGTGCTCCTGTCATGTGAATGAGAACTTGAAGGCCAAAAACAAAAATGGTCAAATGCGAGGCCTATTCTGGAAGGCGGTATATGCTTGCAATGAAGCCGATTTCAAGGCAACTACTTGTGAAATGTAAAGCTATGAAAAGAGGCATGTACAATTTAGAGAGGTTTGTAAGTCGATAAAAATAAAATCTAATTCATAAAATACATAATTTCAATTTTTTACAAACGAGCAATCGATAGACATAGCTTATGTATCAAACATGAAATAAAATAATAAACACAATGACAAAAATGCTATTTACCCTACAAAGCATAAATATAGTCTATTTGGCCGTAATTTTAAAGGTGCTTTTGTGCTTTTAAAACTAAAGGCAGACCAAACACCTCTATAATCTTGACTTTTAAAAAAATTCGAAAAGTACTTCTTACAACATATATACAGAACCTCCAACTTTTGTAAAACATCGATTTAAAAATATGGGATTATCCTTACCATTTTCCCCCTTAAAACATACTTTACTTACATTTATGACAGTTAAAAACTAGAATATATTATAAAATAGTATTAATTTTTTAAAAAAATTCAAGATTCATTTTCACTTTTTTCAATTAAAAAGTAATTTTAGTAGTTTATTAATCAAATATTTAAATAAGTTTTAATTTTTTTGAGAAATAGTTTAAAGATTGCAACCAAAAGTAGGGATGACAATGGGTCGACTTGGTTCTGGTTTTGGCAAACCCAAACTCATGGGTTTATCCGTGAAAAAAACCCGGGGTAAAACCCATTGGGTTTGAAAAACTCAAACTCAACCCGCTGAATATCCGCGGGTTTATGAGTACCCACGGATTTTTGTCATGAAAAATTTATAATAACAAGTTCCTATCAAAATTAAAGTCAAATATCAATTTCTCAATAGAAATTAACCATATATAAAACACAATTCTAGAAATTCAAGCAAATCACAAATTGACTATACAAATGGTTTAACACCAATCTAGAAAACTCAAGAAAATTGAAGCAAATCACAAATTATCAATAAATAACATTATTAATTGAAAGCTTCTTTCTTTCAATTAAGTTTCTTTACTCTCTACTCGATAAAATCAACTTCATTCTACACAACTAGAAAGAAAAAATTAGACATATTTCCACAAACATAAATAAGATTAGTTGTTAAATATCGAGAAAATTAATTATATGAGTGGGGGAGGATACCCATGGGCCGGGTTCACCTAAACCCAACCCAACCCAGTGAATAGTGAACAAATTTTAACCCAAACCCGTCAACTTAGATTTTACCCGCGTTGACCTGGTTGGGTCGGGTGAGTACCCGTGGGTTCGGGTTTTGTTGCCATCCCTAGCCAAAAGTTGTGTTTACAAAAATTACAGCAGAGTAAAACTACCTCATATAATAGTTTAAGCAATACTGTCAATGAATTAAGATAACCGAAACTCAGCCTACCTGAACAAAAAGCTAGTTTGTACGTAACGTAACATGGCATTTCCCCCCAACATTCTCAAAAGAAGTCCTAAAAACATCCAATATAAAGGGGCATTCAAAAAAGCCAGACATATTTTCGGGCAGCCATGGACGAGATCAGGTCTTAGAATCCAACTACTTTCATAACTATACTAAGCAGTGTATTCACTGGAGACAACTCCACAGTTTTGCTCCTTCCAGCTTTGGCTTTCCACTTGGTTAGTACCCTATTTGTAGTCACTACATACTTACATAATACCCCTTCATCTTCTCTTCCTTCAGAAGACCAAAAGTGTCACCTGATGTGAATGCATGCATCAGCCGACGTAAGCACAAGGTAGATGTACATTAGAACTCCCATGAATGCTAACATAAGGTTATATTTTGTGCTGTCAAGGTAGGTGATTGAGTTACTAACCCGTCGAGCTTCAAGGTTTCCTGCGCTTGGTACTCTTGATTTGCTTGTAAATGTAAGTAATAACCTCCTTGGTTGTGGCTCTCCTATCTTCTCTGAAGTTCCAGATTTCCTCTACAGGATATCTCCCACTTGGATTGTATTCATTCAACTCTTCCATTGCCCTAACAACTGCATTGACAATCCCCTCACCCCACTCCGTCAGACTTTTCAGCTTTTCATCTTGTTCATCTACAATTTCCTGGAACCAGACAATGGGATGATGTGTTGAGATTTCAATAAGATGTTGGATTCATCAGTAAAGCTAAGAAATTCACCTTTTCAACCCCGTCTGAAGTAATGACTTTGAAAGGGTACCACTGAGAATCTGTCAGATTGTTCTGCCACAAGCTACAGAGCTCTAGGGCCTTGACTCCTGCTTCCTCAGATGGAAATCTTTGTTTGCAAGCATCAAGGAACGGCTTCTGATTGAGATCGCCCATTCTCTTTATCCCAATGTTCGTTTTAGCATTACCAGTGGACATTTTCTTCAAGCCCTAGGATGAAGATGAAGAAACAAGTAGGTAGGTAGTCAAACCATCATATACTTTCACAGTGCATTATGACAAAATTCTCATATAACTGCATGGCATCTTTTAGTCTCTGTGATATCAACTCAACCATATGCAATGAAGATCACAAGTTCAAGTGGGGAGGCATTCTACACCATATGATAATAATATAATAGCATTCTAAAGCAGGACAAGTCCAAAGGGGAGGAGCTGCAGACCTGTAGCATTACTTTCCGTGCCTCTAGAACTTCATCATTACTCTGGCGCTCCCTGACCATTAGAGTTGTCATAAGAGAATCTTTGTCCGCAAGATCAGATATTTTTGCTGCCAACTCATCATCCATCTCTTTCATAGCTTTCTTAACTGCTTCATCATCTTGATCCTCAAGATGCTTCAGCACATTCAGTTTCCCTTTCAACTGTTGAATTTCCATTTCCAGCTGCTGCTTGGACTCTAACTGCTTTTCCAGCTGAAGTATCTTTTGTAAGGCCTCATCCTTCTCCCTCTGCTCATTTGCAAACCTTTGTAAGTATAAATTCTTTTATAGCTACTGGCCTTTCCATTAAAAAAAAGCATACAAATGCCCATTAAAAAGAAACATGGTGACTTCACAACAAAGTAATACCTTCTGCGCTTCAACCAGTCTCAGGACATTAGCATCAGCTTTCTGCTGCTCCATGGATGCCAAATGGAGTGACTCGTTAACCACTTCATTCTAAAAGCACCAGCAGAAAGGTCAGTATCAAGCTGTATACAGAACCTAGCATTGATAAAATATAGTTGTAGAAACAAAGATCACTGGAAGACACTTGAACAATAGAATTATCATCATGAACAGGAAGAAGGGTTCTTGTAACAGTTACCTTTCTCTTGTCTTCTGCAAGCCTTTGCCTTTCACGATCTGTCAGTGTTTCCCGCTTGCTCAATTCTTTAGCCCGTTCATCAATTTTCTTCGCCCGCGATTCCAAATCACTGATCAACCTTTCCCGCTCAGCCAAGATTCTAAGCACATTCTCTTGTGCAACTCGTTGCATCTTCTTGCTTTCTGAAAGATACAAAAACCCACAACATGTACAAAATCATTGACATAAATGGAGAAGATGTGTGGAACTGCATAAGCAAGCCATCATCATATTTGAATATTACAACGGATACATCTTTAGGGATCATTCATCCAATCAATAACCATACAACAAAAGCAAGATCGTATCTGGTTGCTGCATTATTATCTCCTTGCGTTCACGTGGATCTTATGCTATCCAGTAAAATACACAGATAACGTAACATAGTACTTGCAGTTCAGTGAGATACATCCTCTAAAGCAAGGGAAGACAAACCTTCATCAAAAGCAAGATGTAGCTGATCCTTCTCTTCGAGTGCTCTACTGAATGTCATGGTGTCCTTGTTGTACATGTGCTGCAACTCATCCAGATTTTGATTGGTCTTATAAATTTTCTCAGTCAGGCTTGCAACAACGCTGTTTATGCTTTCACTGGTTTCTTGAGCAATACAGGAAACTGTCGTGAGCTTTGCTTGTTTTCTTAGGTACTTTCCAATTGGACCTTCAGAATCATAGTCATCATGATGTGCAGTCCAGCCATACATCCTTGTGCCAGGATCACTTCCACATGCCTTCCAGTCCACCTTACCACAACGCTCACTGATAAAAGACTTATCAAACTCCCTCGCTTTAGTAAAACCATTCCAATCACTGCTAAACTTCACCACCACTTGAGCTTTTTGGATTTCTTCATTGATTAGGATATGCACATTTGCAGGGTTGTACTTAGCAAACTTTTGCAACCAATAACCATCCTCCAGCAATTCAGACTCGATCGATATGTTCATTACGATCCCCATCGGTGGCCATACAAGCTGCTCCATCTGATTTGCAGCATGTGTGGGGGGCTGTGGTAAGACCCTTGTCTGGGTTTCGTCAGCCTCACCCGCCAAGTCAACTTGCAAATACTTGGCTAAGGCAAGATGGTCAGCCTTTTGCCTCCCACTCCTGCTGGCGGCTCCCTTACCCACTCCCGAAGCATGTTGAAGCAAATCCTTGTACTTGTAGTCCTGCTTCTTCTTCCCAGCGCAGAATGGACACCTTAGGATGCCATTTACCTTCACTTTCAACTCTCCAGATCTCAACTGATGATATGGCTCGTCTACATGGTCATCGATCTCTGAGTCACTGATGTCCTCCCCTGAATCATGCTCCATTATGCTGCACACAGAACCAAAAACAGAAAATGAAGCTGAGTTCAAGCAACTGCATGAACCAAGTGCAAACCAGAGCAACCAATACTCCAGGATCGGACTCCACTTCGAAAGCAGGGCGAGCCAGAGCATGAAAATGAAAGAACAATACGCATGCAAGCATACAACGAGTGATCCCGAGCCTCTGAAACAGGAAATCTCACCACCGCCATTCAACAGCAAGAAACCCACACATTCCCAACTTCCCAAGCGCCAAGGCCCTCCCTCCCAAAACAACACCATTGAACGATTCACAAAGAGCTGACAGAAATAAAACCCTAGATTTCGACTCATAGTCATAGATGCCCTAGGTAAAGGTGTTTGGACAACAGAAATTGAAGAAGCATATAGCAACAACGAGGAAACAGCAGATGATCGGACCATTTTTTGGGGGAAATGTAAGTCGATAGCAAGAGAAACAGAGAGAAGAATTACTTGAAGCGGAGGAAGCGTCTCTCTCTGCAGCAGAATTCCGTCTCTGTTGAGTAGTGTTGCCTTCCCGTCGTGTCACTTTAGGCCAGAGAAGAGAAGTGTGTAGACTGTAGTGTGAGTGAGCTATAGCAGGTAATTTACTGAGCACGTACCAGAGGCTATATTTTTAATTAATTTAATTTTGCTTGATCAGGAAATTTGAAAGGACAGAGTAGGGAGAAATCAAGTGCAGTTGCGATATATTTGTATCCGGCAACTTTTAATAGCGATGAGGACATGTGGCTTGTACGGTTTTACCAGGTATAAGTGAACGGTGAATGGGGTGTTGACGACTCGTGTAGCGTCTTGTAATACGTGAGTGTGGGTGCATCGCATCGCATTGGATCTTTTTCCATGGCGGTTTAAGTAGAATGGGCGGTTTTGGAATTTGGAGCAGTTGTGGCTCCCACTGCCGAGTCCCAGCGGGCAGCGTGCGCGGGAAGTTAAATGAATGAGCATTGAGCCCGACGGACTACCCGACTCCTTGCTCGCTCCAAACTTCTGTTAATTGGATAAATACCAATATGGGCCGGAACTTGGGCCCTGGGATCTCAACAACCAAAGGCAAGATGACATTTTTAGTTTCCAAAAAATCTCTATTACCGTGGGTTAAAACTTGAAAGAGAGATAAAAAGGCTAAATGAGAGATTTAGTACTCAAACATGCCAGACCATTTTCCGACGAAGATATTGTTTGTTTTGGGGTCTCGATCTTCATTGTTTTCGATTTGGGATGCAATTCAAGGTGACTTCCCATAAGGTCATTCATCCTTGTTGTACTCCACACCGAGCACGTTTAACTTTGAAGTTCTCACAAGAATTCTTCCATTTTACCCCAAAACGCGTCTAGTCAGTTAATGTCGCTTTCTTACTTATGAACCATGGATCTCTCCCGTGCTTTGTCAGGTGTTACATAAATCCCCCCCTTGGAACTCAATGTCCTCGTTGAGGTTTGTCCCACCATCGTTCAAGAAGGACGCAGAGAGGCTTTCATACCACTTATAACATTTCGGACCTTTTCCCAACGAAGATATTGTCCGCTTTGGGTCTCGACCCTCACGGTTTTCGATTTGAAGTGCAATTCAAGGTGACTTCCTATAAGGTCACCCATCTTTGTTGTACTCCACACCGATCACGTTTAACTTCTGAGTTCTCATAAGAACTCTTCCATTTCACCCCAAAACGCGTCTAGTCAAGTAAGCTCGGTTTCTTACTTATGAACCATGGATCTCTCCCGTGCTTTGTCGATGTCGGATTCGCCTAAGGTGTTACATACACCCCCCCCCCCCCCCGGGACTCAACGTCCTCGTTGAGGTTTGCCCCACCATTGGTCAAGAGGGACGCAGAGAGGCTCTGATACCACTTGTACCATCTCAGACTTTTTTTCAACGAAGATATTGTCCGCTTTGGGTCTCGACCCTCACGATTTTCGATTTGAGGTGCAATTCAAGGTGACTTCCCATAAGGTCACCCATCCTTGTTGTACTCCACACCGAGCACGTTTAACTTCGGCGTTCTCACAAGAACTCTTCCATTTCACCCCAAAACGTGTCTAGTGAGTTAATGTCGGTTTCTTATTTATGAACCATGGATCTCTCCCGTGTTTTGTCGATGTGGGATTCTCCTAAAGTGTTACATACAACCCCACCCCCCTTGGGACTCAACGTCCTCGTTGAGGTTTGCCCCACCATCGTTCAAGAGGGATGCGAAGAGGCTCTGATACCACTTGTAACATCACAGACCTTTTTCCCAACGAAGATATTATCTGCTTTGGTTCTCGACCCTCACGGTTTTCGATTTGGGGTGCAATTCAAGGTGACTTCCCATAAGGTCACCCATCCTTGTTGTACTCCACACCGAGTACGTTTAACTTTGGAGTTCTCACAAGAACTCTTCCATTTCACTCCAAAACGCGTCTAGTCAGTTAAAGTCGTTTCTTACTCATGAACCATGGATCTCTTCCGTGTTTTGTCGATGTGGGATTCGCCTAAAGTGTTACATACACCCCCTTGGGACTCAACGTCCTCGTTGAAGTTTGCCCCACCATCGTTCAAGAGGGACGCGGAGACGCTCTGATACCACTTGTAACATCCTGGACCTTTTCCCAACGAAGATATTGTCTGCTTTAGGTCTCGACCCTCATTGTTTTCGATTTGGGGTGCAATTCAAGGGGACTTTCCATAAGGTCACCCATCCTTGTTGTACTCAACACCAAACACGTTTAACTTCGGAGTTCTCACAAGAACTCTTCCATTTCACCACAAAACGCGTCTAGTCAGTTAAGGTCGGTTTCTTACTTATCAACCATGGATCTCTCACGTGCTTTGTCGATGTTGGATTCGCCTAAGGTGTTACAGAGGATGTGGGGGGAGTTGTAGAGACCAAGTACAGAAGAAAATAAAACCAATGCTGTAAAAGGAAGGTCAATGTTTTGGGAATCGTTTTTCCATAAATTTAATTTAATTATTTAATTAGGTGTTTTTTAGCTAATGAATATAGTTTAGGTGAAAATCTCAATGGTTCGGTTCCTGCTTGAAGTAAAAAAAATACATAAAAATGTGAATTTAACGCTATTAAACAAAATAACAAATATGAATAGTCAATTAAATTGATTCACTAGTTATTTCAGCTATAAAAAAGAAAATTGTTCAAATTTTGTCGAAATATTAAGAGATTGTTTGCTTCTTGAATGTGGAGGATATTAAATCAGTGGATACATGCACTTGAAGGGTTGCAAATTTCCAAATCTTTGATTTTGAGGTGGGAATAGAATATGGCCACAAATTCTATAAAAATAAATATAAAAAAAGAATATGTCCACAAATTAATGTTGATTAGTTACTCAAATACCTCATATATTTTTCATATTCCATTATGCGCTCATGGTTTCCTTTTTATATTCTCGTTGTGTCCCAAGACAATAAAATAGAGCCTCCTGAAATCAATGAAAACTTGGAATGGAATGATTATCTTGTTGGTGATGCATGGCAGGTGAGTTGAACTGCAGAAGCATCTTCGTAATTTGCTTGATTCGAGATGTCAATCCAGAATAGAAATTATTAGAGTTGGCTTTCACCATGTTCTCTACATGTGTTTAAAGGGTTTTGAGGGGAATCAATTCGCGGCGGAGGACATCAAACCAGGTGGATCACGTGCTTGACCAGTGATCAACGACTCTCCCTTTCCCTAGCTCGCGATCTGCATCACGGGAAATCGATCAACTAGCAACAACCTTCGGGGAAAGTCAATCCGCTAATTTGAAGATTCGTTAGCAGATAATAACTGATATCCAAGATACATGAACTAATATCAAAATACTAAAGTATCTAGAGAGCACAGATCGACTAGTATTCAAAGTTTGCTAACTGATATCCACCACGAATCAACTATTATCCCAAATTCATAAACTAATATCTAGACAACACAGAATAGTATCCAAACAGCACATAATTAGTATCCAGATAACACATAAGAATATCCATATTGAATACTAGTTGGTTAATTGTGGATACTAGTTGGTACCTGCTATCTGGATACTAGTTTGTGATGTTTTGAATGTTAGTCTGTGATATCTAGATACTCAGCAGACTTGGATATTAGCTCATATATTTTGGATATTAGTTGGTATATACTAACGAATCTTCAAGTTAGCAGAATAACTAGGATGACGACCTTCGACTCAGATCGCTTCTGTAACATGTAATCCACTAGCAGGCGCCGTGTACCGCCGCATCCTTCGGCGAACTATGTTGTCGGGTAAGAACCAATCACTGGTCGCCAGCGTGATCCATTTGGATGTGCCTTGCGTCCTACTCCAATGAATTAACAACGTTGCTGTTCGCTTGGTTGTCTAGCGACCTCTCAGAATTTTTGGGAAATATTTTGTTGGGCCGAGCTTAGGGATGGCAATGGGTCGGGTCGGGGGCGGATAGTGCATATCCGTTACCCTACCCAAAGTACTTCGGGTTTTACCCATACCCATACCCACATGTGAAACGGGTAGAAAATCAAAACCATGCCCATACCCGTTCGGGTTTCGGGTATCCACGGTTATCCATGGATATTAATTTCTCTTCATAACTCCAACCAATATGTTAACATTCACACGTATTCTTGTATTAAGTAAGAGAAAAAGTACAACAAGAATTCACTAGAATGAAGAAAATTAACTAAAACAACACAATTTCATGAAAATGTTATATTTATATGCTAAATATAAAATATGTTAGAGAAAAATAATGATTATTTCTAGACAAAATACATATGCATGTGTATAATCGGGCGGGTTCGGGTCGGATAGTGAGAAATCCATGCCCACCCATTACCCGCAATATTCGGGTTCGGGTTTTACCCGTACCCACTAAATGTCCTTCGGGTTCGGGTTTTACCCTACCCTACTAGGCTGGATTTGGGCGGATATCCACGGTTATGGATATTTTTGCCATCCCTAGCCGAGCTGCTGCACCAGCTGAAGTAGAGCCCACGTCTTGTGCTCACGTGGACTCCTCATGGTGCATGGACACTCGTAATTCCCATGTAACCCTAGGAGAATGTAGCATAGGGTATAAATACATGTACTCGGCTTTAAGCCGTCAAGAACAATAATACACAATCTCGTTCTTCCCGTGGACGTAAGCCTCACCACACCGGTGAGGAAGAACCACGTTATATCCTGTCTACTTTATAATTCCAGCACAATTTCACATGGTATCAGAGCTGTAAGTTCCAGCTCAAGTTTTTTTTCGTAATCCATCATGGTTCAGGACGGGGACAGCGACGACAAGAATAAATCCGGCGTCTCCTCCCGCGGTGGTGAACCAGGTCTCCCATCCGTCTATCAACTAAGCAATTCGGATGGCCCTGGCAACATGATGGTTGGCGAAGTCTTGACGGCTTCGAATTATGGTGAGTGGGCCTTGGATATGAAGGACGCACTCCTAGCCAAAAACAAATTTGGTTTTGTGGATGGAACCATACCGAAACCTGTCGATGCTCGAGAACGCGATGCTTGGGTGCGTTGCGATGCGATGGTCAAGGGATGGTTGAAGACTTCGATGGATAAAGAGATTCGGAGTAGTATCCGATTTGCCGAGAATGCTCGTGCAATATGGTCCGACTTGCAGGAGAGATTTGGTCAAGGAAGCGCTTTCCACGCATACGAACTATGTCGGCTTATCTCGCTACTGCAACAAGAAAAGAAATCGGTGTCATCCTTCTATACTGCGCTGCGTTCGCTGTGGGAAGAGGCTTCCGCAATTGCACCGTTACCTACATGTGTTTGTGGGCATTGTACTTGCGATGTCTCCAGGCGTGTCCGAGAGCAGCAAGACAGCTCAAGACTCTTCGACTTTTTGATGGGGCTCGATGAAGCCGCCTTCGGCGCTGTGCGTACGCAAGTTCTGGCCATGAAACCCACACCAGGTCTCTCGGAGGCTTTTAATATAGTGCTCCATGCAGAACAACAAAAGCTCATATCACAAAGCAGGAAGCCGCAATCGGAGACGGCGGTGTTTGCTGCTCAAGGCTGGGAGCCTGAGAAGGGATCTCGCGGAACGGGGGAGCAACGAGAAAAACCTCGTTGTAGTCATTGCAACAAAATTGGCCATCTCAAAGAGAGTTGCTATGAGATAATAGGCTATCCTCCACGCGAAAGACAGGGCGAAAGGCAGACTGGAGATAGGCAGCGGCGCCGTCCTCGTAATCATGATGATGGACAGCGAGAAAGCTCTCATCGTGAGCCTAAAGCTTCTCAAATTGATTCCGACCAGAGCCCAGTCGCAGGCTTTACAGCAGCCCAGCTAAGTCAGCTCAAGCAGTTCTTTGGTCTACAGGATAAGGGCGCTGATGATCGGGATTCGGCAGCGCACATGGCAGGTACTATTTCTTTCGATACGGAGTGGTTGCTTGATTCTGGGTGTAATGAGCACATTACAATGGATGATTCCTTATTAACCAACAAAGAAACCCAAACAAATGGTCAGCCAGTGCGTATTCCTAATGGTGAGAGTATTCCTGTGCATCATGTTGGGTCAGTCGAATTGCAGCCGGGTATCTCACTCAAACGTGTTCTGCACGTCCCGGAATTTCAGTGTAATTTGATTTCGGTGAGTAGACTGACCAAGGATAATCAGTTGGCTTTGATCTTTCTGGATGGTTTTTGCATAATCCAGGACTTACGCTCCAAGAAGTTGATTGGGAAGGGTGAGCTCGCGATGGTCTCTATTACTTGCGTCTCTTTGGAGCTGGTAGAGCGCAAGCGTGCACGGTTCGACGCAAGGAGAAAGAGGCGGAGCTGAACTGGCATGCCCGATTGGGCCACCCTTCTTTGGAAAAGCAGTTATATATCGGTCGTCTATTGTCGCTTTCTTTTCAGACTAATAAGAGCCCATGTCATTCCTGTTTGCGGGCTAAACAGTCACGGTCTCCTTTTCAGTCTAGCACTATTAAAACTACTCGTAGTTTTGAACTTATCCATGTTGATCTTTGGGGAGGATATAAGGTTGAGTCGTTAAATGGTGCACATTACTTTCTGACGATAGTGGATGATTTTACTCGGGGTGTCTGGGTTTACTTACTACGGTATAAATCAGATGTTGAGCAGCATTTGTTACAGTTCTGTCGCATGGTGAAGACACAGTTTCGTTCTTCAGTTGCTCGTATTCAGGCAGATAATGGCCACGAGTTTAACACTGAATCCTTGCGAACCTACTATGCGCATGAGGGAATTTTGCTTCAAACATCTTGTACTGACACTCCTCAACAGAACGGAGTGGTGGAAAGAAAGCATCGCCATATTCTTGAAACGGCGAGAGCATTACGTTTTCAGGCAAGTCTCCCTCTACGATTTTGGGGAGAGTGTATTTTGACAGCGGTTTATCTTATTAACAGGTTACCCACGACAGCGACAGGGAAGACACCTTTTGAACTTCTGTTTCAGCGTCCTGCCTCGTATCGTCACCTGCGAGTCTTCGGATGCTTGACTTACTTCAAAGATACACATGCCCACCTTGATAAATTTGGTGAGCGTGGGCAAGCAGGGGTCTTTTTGGGTTATGCTGCCACCCAGCGCGGCTATCGTATTTACGACTTGACTACAAAGCGGATTGTCACCTCCCGCGACGTGACTTTCCATGAGCATCTTTTTCCATTTCAGGAAAATGTGCAACGGGAGATACACTGGGTACCTCGCCCCGTACTCGGCGCGTCCGATGCTGCCATGGACGATGAAATGGCACCCACACCTGCTGAAGAAGTCGGCCGAGTAGCGCCTGCGGAGGATCTCGCTGGGGACTCTATCAATTCCCAAGCCATTCATGAGCAGGCATCCTCGTCCACACCACCTGCTCAAGATAATGGTGGAGTTCCAAACCCACCTGTGCGCAAGAGCACCCGTGAGAGAATGCGGCCAAAATATTTGGAGGATTATGAGACAAACTCACCTCCTAATCGGCAACAGGGAAGTAACACAAATTCAGTTCTTTATCCTCTTGCTAGTTGTGTGAGTTATGACGGTTTTAAGCCCCATTTTCGTGCCTTTCTTGCAGCAATCACTCGCGAGGACGAATCGCGATATTTTCACCAAGCCATGCGCGATCCCCGCTGGCGAGCAGCCATGATTAAAGAGATTGAAGCACTTGAACGAAATGGGACATGGACCTTGGTCGATCTGCCTCCAGGAAAACGTGCTATTGCAGCTAAATGGGTATACAGAATCAAGTATTTTCCTGATGGCACTATCGAACGTTTCAAGGCGCGTCTGGTTGCTAAAGGTTATACACAGATTGAAGGGTTAGATTTCCATGACACATTCGCACCAGTCGCCAAACTAGTTACCGTCCGATGTCACATTGCCGTCGCTGTCAGTCGTGGTTGGCATCTACATCAGCTCGATGTCAATAATGCTTTTCTTCATGGTGACCTTGATGAAGAAGTTTACATGGAGATCCCACAGGGTTTTCGCAAACCTGGAGATGCCCGGGTTTGCCGCCTTCACAAGTCACTCTATGGTCTTCGTCAGGCTTCCCGCAACTGGTACCAGAAGTTCACTGCGGCCCTGACAGAGTTTGGTTTTCGGTCTTCACCGGCAGATGCATCTCTCTTCGTGTATTGCAAGGGTAGCACACATGTTGCTGCATTGATTTACGTCGACGACGTCATACTCACTGGGAATGATCTCTCATTTATGACTCGTGTCAAGAAGTTCCTCGATGATCGTTTCAGCATCAAAGATCTCGGGACACTCCGTTATTTCTTGGGCATCGAACTTGCACGCACACAGGATGGTGTAGTCCTCAGCCAACGCAAGTATGCACTCGACATCCTTGAGGATGCCGGCGTTCAAGCTGCTCGCCCCAGTGCTTTCCCTATAGAGCAGCATCATCAGTTGACTCGTCAAATGGAAGATAAGTTAGCTGACCCTTCACTCTATCGTCGATTAGTTGGTCGTCTTTTGTACTTAACCATCACTCGACCTGACATTACCTATGCAGTTAATGTCCTGAGCCAGCATGTTCAGGCGCCCAGTCAGCAACATCTGGACGCGGCATTCTGAGTTCTCCGATACCTCAAGAATTCGCCTGGCCAAGGCCTCTTCTTTCCCACCAGTAACTCTCTTCGAGTTGCAGCCTACTGCGATGCGGACTAAGGAGGCTGTCAGAGTACCCGTCGCTCCACTACCGGGTACTTCATTACTCTAGGTGGTGCCCCTATCTCCTGGCGCACCAAGAAGCAACGCGTTGTTGCCCGTTCATCTGGCGAGGCCGAGTATCGAGCCATGGCCAGTACAGTCAGTGAGGTCCTTTGGTTACGTTGGCTGTTGCATTGCATGAGCTTGGCGTCCCCCAGCCAGCGCCTACACCTCTCCATTGCGATAATCAGGCTGCCATCCATATCGCAAATAATCCGGTCTTCCACGAGCGCACTAAACACGTGGAAATGGATTGTCACTTCGTCCGGGAGCGTGTTCAGACCGGTCAGATATTGCCCGTCAAAGTCCATACCGACCTCCAGCTTGCCGACATCCTTACTAAAGGTCTTGGCGCCGAGCGATTCCGGTTTCTTCTCTCCAAGCTGAACATTCGTGATCTTCATGTGCCAGCTTGCGGGGGAGTGTTGGGCCGAGCTGCTGCACCAGCTGAAGTAGAGCCCACGTCTTGTGCTCACGTGGACTCCTCATGGTGCATGGACACTCGTAATTCCCATGTAACCCTAGGAGAATGTAGCATAGGGTATAAATACATGTACTCGGCTTTAAGCCGTCAAGAACAATAATACAAAATCTCCTTCTTCCCGTGGACGTAAGCCTCACCACACCGGTGAGGAAGAACCACGTTATATCCTGTCTACTTTATAATTCCAGCACAATTTCACATATTTTGACTAGTTCTATGTGCTGGGAATTTTTTTTATATGATGTATTATGGAGAAAAAATCCCTTAGCGTATGATTGGAACAAATGAAAATAGACGACTGATTATCTAGTTAGCACCGTACTAACCCCTTCCTGAGATTGATCGTTGAACTTCTCACTAAATTCTAACACGTCCTATATTTTTATCTTATCTTGTGATGTACCATCGACGTAGGTGTACATATAGAAATTGTCAATATATGCTATCGATAATTGCACAAATTCATCCCAGAAAAATACATCTATTTTAGTTAAAGAAAAAATAGAAACGAAGCAATTAAGGGTAAACAATTTCCCTTTGGAAACAAAGTTAATATGGAAAATCAGAAGGATTAAAAAAAAAGAAGAAGAACAAATCGATTCTGTGATTGTCATTAATATCGCATATTTGCATTCTCCTAAAGTGGAAATGCCAATGTTCATTCCATCAACTCTCTAATAGCATATATAAGGCATGCCTTTGGGAAACCACCATTGTCATAAATAAATAAATAAATAAAAAATGGCGACGACGTTCAAAGAATCCATGTTCCCCGTACTATTATCGTTGATCATTATGCTACTTTTCACGACGATATTCCCTTCCGCCGTCGCGGTAAGCGTCAAGCTCACGGTTCCGGACACCTCGACGATATGCGACAAGAGCATGAACCAAACATTCTGCGAGAGCTTCATGAAATCCACCGCCGGGATATCCACCGCGGACCTGGCCGGCGCCGGAGGGATCATCCTCGACGTCAGCAGCAGGAGCGCGGCGGAGACCGAGGATTACATCAAAACCCAGCTAGCCGCGGGTGATCCGAAGCTTGCGGAGGCGTACAAGAAGTGCTTGGAGAACTACCGTTGTGCTGTGAGCTCCATCGCCGACGCCAAGGCTTCGCTGGCGTCGAAGGACTACGAGGGGATGAACCTGAAGGCCTCCTCGGCTCAGTCGGAGACGGATACTTGTAATGAAGCGGTGAGGGGATCCGGCGCGGCGGAGACGGATCCGGTTCCGGAGAGGAGTCGGTACATGTGTAATGTTCTGGATATTGTTCTCATCATTGCTAATAAATTGCAAAAAGGTTAGACGAGGGTAGGGTTTGTCTTTAGGAGGAAATAAAGCTTGGTTTTGATACCTTTTTTTTATCACATAGAATTTTGTGATTATATGTACTTTTATGGAAATTGATTGTCCATGTTTTAATTGAAATTAGTAGAAATATGTTATTCAAGTAATGTTTATTTTGAACAGTGATTCAAATCATAATATTGGAAATTACAAGTATGGTTAAATATTATTTAATAGGATACCCTATTTTATAGGGATGGCAAAAATATCCGTAACCGTGGATATCCACCCGAATCCGACCTAATCGGGTAGGGTAAAACCCGAACCCGAAGCATTTTTCGTGGGTACGGGTAAAACCCGAACCCGAATATTGCGGGTAATGGGTGGGCATGGTTATCTCACTATCCAACCCGAACCCGCCCGATTATACACATGCATATGTATTTTGTCTAGAAATATTCATTATTTTTCCTTAGAATATTTTATATTTAGCATATAAATATAATATTTTCATAAAATTATGTTGTTTTAATTCATTTTTGTCATTCTAGTGAATAATTGTCGTACTTTTCCTCTTACGTAATGTGAATATACGTGTGAAAGTTAACATATTGGTTGGAATTATAAGGAGAAATTATTACCCATGGATAACCGTGGATACCCGAAACCCGAACGGGCATGGGCATGGTTTTGATTTTCTACCCGTTTCTCGTGTGGGTACGGGTATGGGTAAAACCCGAACTACATTGGGTAGGGTAACGGATATGCACTATCCGCCCCCGACCCGACCCATTGCCATCCCTACTATTTTAGCTCGAAGTTTGGCGTAAATGACACTTTTGGCCTGAAATTTCAAATAATACAGTTATGCCCGACATTTGAAAATAATGGATAGATTTAGCGTGAAGTTTGGCTTGACCGTCAATAATAGCGGTGAAACATTTTTATCATTAATAGTTGACCATTATATTTCAGAGAGAGATAGAGAGGGGAAATAGGGAAAGAAGAAAAGACATTTAGGCTTTAGAGCATGAGAAACGGGTCGGGAAAATGGACGACTAACTGATTTGAGTTATTTATGAATAATTATTTCTATTTTAATTGAGAAAAATTGCATACCCTTGGGACTAGAAAAACAATTTTTTTTTCTCTCTGAATCGACTGGGCTAGACTTTCAGCGATGGCCGCAGCGCAGGGCGCCCCTGCTAATTGGGCGCAACTGTTTGGTGTCAAAGCAAGCAATAGACTTCACTATATCGCTTTGACTGTCGTTGACGGCTCGCTAGTGATTCCACGAGATGTGCACGAGGATGGAACAACTTGTTAGAGGAATGCGTCTGTTGGCCAATTTCTGTCACTGGCACTAGGAATTGAACAACTACGTCGCTGGGCGCATCGATTCTGGGGGCGCAATGTTAAGGTGTATGTCTCGCTATTTGGGGAGAACATGTTCATCTTCCAGTTCTCATATTCGAACACAAGTAACTTGGTATTCGAAAATGGTCCTTGGCAATACTTCAACAACTAGGGGTGGGCATTGGTGCGGTCAAACCGCTCCGAACTGTACCAAACCGCTTTTGTGGTCGAGCCAAACCGCACCATAAGCTTGCGGTTTAATAAGCGGTCTGAATTTTTAACGGCTCGCGGTTCGCGGTCGGGTTTATCCGAAACCGCGCGGTTACGGTTTGAAACCGCAAACCACAAATGAATTTTATTGGTCTCCGCTGCCGCCATCGCTAATACCCATCATTCTGCTTTCACAGCGCCGGTGGCGCGGCCCAATTACTTGACTGGGATGCGTAGAAAACTAGAAATCCGGAGAGGTTCTGCTTGGCGATGAATTTTGCAGTGTTCCAATTTTTTTTTTGTTTTTGTTTGTGAAAGTGTTCCTATTAATTCTGCTGCCGGAGTAATGGTAATGGTTTGTCTTTGAGCTGCTAAGTAATTAATCGTAAATTAAGGATAATTGAATTCATACGGGATTGATATATTTATAATTAGTTATTACTAGATATTAAATATTAGTTTTTCTTACCACTACATTAGAAAGTGAATTCAAACTTCTCAATTCAATAATGCATAGTTCATAATACATTGCGGTCAAATATGCGGTGCGGTTTGGATCGCACCAAATCGCTTATCTAAGCGGTTTGGTTTGACCGCTCCATTTAAATTGCGGTCTAATATGTGGTGCGGTCCAAATAACATACGGTGCGATGCGGTTTATGTCAATACGGTTTGGTGCGGTCCAAACCGCACCAATGCCCACCCCTATCAACAACCCACTCTTCTTTGGCCTGTGGTACCTAGAATTCAGCCAGATGTCACAATAAAAAAAAGTCATTAGACTCTTTGAAGAGCCAAGTTTTTTTTGGCCATAAAGGCATGCAAGAGACAATCCTACAGTTTAATAAAAGAAAATGGGATCGAATCATCACTTGATATATCTAAAAAGCTGGATGCAGAAGTGTTGGGCAATGATGACCGTTGGTTACATTCTTTCTTCTGAGCCTTCTGTTCCTCCGTCGACCTTCATTCGTTCGTCCACCTGACCTGTTAGTTGACGCGGAACAACATTGAATTTTGAATAGATAAATCTATACTACAAAAATCTTCTATCTATCTATAAAATATTAAAAGGCTTTAAGATTTTGACCACTGCCACATCAGCTTTAAATGAAATCCATGCTCCCACGTCAGCACGCTAAAAAACAAAAATACAGTTCCGTTTTTTTCCCCCTTTCAAATCCCTCAACAGTAGCAACGTTTGATTTTTTTACAGTAGCAACGTTTGTTTTTTTTTTTTAAGCAACCACTTCCTCCATTTTCTCCTCTTTCATTTAAGGCTTTGGCTTTTACAGTAGTACCCAATAAAAAATGTAAAACGTGACAGAGGGTGGGGTGGGACTTGGGAGGCTGGGAGCATTTTGGATAGATAATTTTATCTTTATTTTAATCTTAGTAACATTTAAATTAGCATGTTTTCACTTTGTAATTCATATTATTTGCTTCTAAGGAATAGGGCATCGAACCGAAGTATACGGTAGTATAGTGGAGAGGAAAATACCGTTTTGAATCGATGTTTACGGTGAATGTTCTCAGTCATTTCGTTTATGAATGTTTGTGGATATTCAAAAATATTATAATATATTTTGAATTTTAGGCACGAAAAAAATCATAAACTACTTATTTTCTCAAAATAGACTTCCTAATTTCAAATTTGCTCAATTCTTATGCATTCACGTTAGCCTTATTATGGTGTCATTTTATTAATTTAATGATTCTCTACAATAAAATTTACCAAACATATAAAAAGAATTAGTAGGGTTTTGAACCCACTAACTCCAAATCGTACGGTATAGGTTGTTAAGGTATTAAACTATTGAGACAAACTTCATTTGATGATTTTAGTTTATTGATCACAACATGATTGGTGATTTGGTATTATCATATCTTATGCCCAATACTTTCACTCTATCAATAAAACCAATCTTAGATAAATGTTACTTAAATTCGATAAATCTTATACTAAAAGTATATTTTTATGTTTAAAATAAAAAAATTATATCATAAATAAATAAAATCAAAATAGTAATAAATTTAAATATTATATGAAATAATTAATAAAAATATCTACCCGGCCAATGGCCGGGTACAAAGCTAGTTGATTAATACTCGGAAATAAAAAGAACTGCTTATACACAATTACATAAACTTTGATTATGCATATGGTCCTACTATTAGGCCATGGTCTAATGCGATCCACTCTCCTTATTTCTTAGCAAAGTCGGATAAATGCCACATTTGATCACTGCGATTACTAAATTGTGTTATGTTTAGTCAATAGAAAAAGTTAATATCAATTTTGGTCACTCGAATTACTAAACCAAGTCACATTTAGTCACTCTCGTGTTAGCCTCCGTCCAACTCCGGTGACTCGAATTATTTTTTTCTTATGAATGTCACTCGAATTACTGAAACATGCCACATTTAGTCACTTTTCGTTAGTCTCCGTCCAACTCCGTTAATGGAGTTGGAGGGAAACTAACGAGAGAGTGACTAAATGTGACATATTTCAGTAATTCGAGTGACCAAAATTGATATTAATTTTTTTTAGTGACTAAACATGACATGATTTAATAATTTTAGTGACCAAATGTGACATTTACCTTAACAAATTCATAATAAAACAAAATTAAAGAACAACAGTCTTCACGTATCGCAAGAAAGTCCCAAAAGAATAAGAAGTACAATAACGACAGATTGCAAGAAAACAAAAATACAAACGAAGGAGAATCAAGTTAAATCGTTACACGTAACTGTAAACATAAACTCCAATGTTTATCATTGCAAATATCAAATTGATTGACGTTCTCTCCTTAATTCAATTCCTCCCTCATATATGTAATGTGTATATATAGGTATGTGATACGAGAAGAAGTTATTAAAACCATCCCAATCTACACCGACGTACTAAGAGGGAGATAGAGAGAGCTGGCTGGCCAGCCGGAAAATGATGATGAGAGGGGCAGCTGTGATGGTGATAATGCTTTCTCTTTCAAACGCCATGTTCTTCTTCTTAGCTTCTGGCTACGAATTCTACGCTCTGTGCAACAAAGCCAAGTTCCCGGATACTGACCCTCTGGAGAGTGCTGCCGAAGCTGCGCTAGCCAACTTGGTGAACGGCGAGGTGACCGGCCTGCATCGTTGCGCCGATGGAACTTCTGACATCTACACAATGCACGGCGAAGCTAGCTGTGGAAGCTCGGATGGCTGCGACGACTGCCTCGACGCCGCCAAAAGTTACTTGCTGTCGATTTGCCGTGACCACCTTGGAGGCCAGGCGCACGACAACAGTGGTTATTGCTCCGTCAGGTTCGAGAACTACATTTTCTGCACATGAAACTCATCAACTAATCAACCTCTACGTACGGCTCTACCTACGTACTCCAGCCGATCGAACCCACATCGCATCCGTGAGGAATAAGAACCTAATACACGTACGACGGGCCAGTTTG